TAGGTGTGAATGTGAGTGTGCTTGGTTGTCTGTCTCTAAGTGTAGCCCTGTGATAGACTGGTGCCCTAAGTCAGCTGGGATAGACTCCAGCCCCTCGCGACCCTCGTGAGGATTAAGTGGTGTATAGATGATGGATGTTGGAGATCGTGAAGCTGATGTCTAATTCTTACATGTATAGATGGAAAACTATTGTTGTTTTATGTTCATCAGGGTATTGAAACTGTCTCTGTCTGCACTATACAGTTTTGCTTTAAACCCCTGAACCTCAAAATCTCGTCGTGCAGATTTAAAGGCTTAACTTAAAAAAAAACTGCCGAAGTTACACCAATTATCAGAGCAAGAACCTAAAAAAAGGAACCAAATCTAAGCTTAAAATCCTGATGTTTCATCAAAATCACTCTGTCCTGCACGTCTCATTGAATCATTTGCCAAAAAAAAGCTTTGATTCTGCAAAAAATAAAACAAAAATTCACTCCTCAGTGCAACAACGAACCCACTGGTGACCTGCGACCAAGACTCATGTGAAATTTCAGCTGTGTTTGCCCAGAGCAGACAGAGAACAAGTATGGAAGCAAAAAAAAAAGTAAAGCACAAAAAAATGTATATTACGTAGAGTCATCTTTTTCTAAGTATTGGGAACACCTGAGGGCAATTGTTGATTCCAGGTTTTTTCCATTTCTTGTCTTATGATTTATGGCGTTGTGACGGCGTTACACTGCACAGAGGACATCTCTGAGCGCTCTCTACTTCTAGTCATGCTTCTGCTTTTTCCATCGAGGTTATTGCAGTGAAAAATGAGCTCACAATGAGCTCAAGTGGCCAGAAACTGGTTCAGAAGGTTAAACAAATTAGATAAAGATGAGTTAATTAGTCGGCATCAGAGGCTAAGTGTCCTCCTTGTTTTTCACCTTTATGCTCAGCTAAGCTAACGACAGAGCTATAATTCATCTCATCTAACTAAAGGAAATGAATAAGCACATTTCCAGAAACGTCTGTTCCAACATCCTGTCCTCACTTGTCCTCAAACTTCGTGCAATGCTATACCATTCAAGTGCACTTTTACGATCAGAAATAAATACTGAAAACTCTTTTTTTTTTTTTAAAACGCAAAAAAAAAAACTGTACAGAAGGCACAGATGCTGGTTTAGAGTTTTGTCTTTTTCGGGTCAAGGTCATGCTTAAAGGAAAGGCTTCGATCCGGGCGTGGTGTCATTAGGTTCCTCAGATATAAATATCTGCTCCGTGTGAGGATGTGATTGTTCACAACGGTTCCTCGGACCACGTTTTTTTCCACGGGCTTGTAAATCACTGCATCATAAAAAGCCCAGTGTCAGCAGCCGGAGGGAGAGCGAGGGTCTATTTTTAAGAATAATATAAGCGTGCTTTTGAACAGGTGTGGAGCAGCGACTCCTCCAGACAATGGGTTTGGCTCACTGTAAATCAATGAGCCTCTTTCAGACGAGCTATTTCCGTCGTTGGTCCGCGGCTGACTTTGGGGAACATTTATACAGCGGTAACTCTCAGGAGAACACACATTCCTCATCAACGTCTACTCCAGGTGTTTATAATAAGGTAATAATAGGTGTGTTCGTTGGGTACACGCGCTGAATGGATGATGAAATAAAATTCACTCCTCGGTTCCAGCTCTCTCCAAGCTGGTTTAAAAGGGTCCAGCTGCACATTCCACATTTACACCTTCTCCGTTGCTGCCCCCGAATTCACGCCGCTTGTTCGAATCCTGCAACAAATCAGCTCGAATTCAAACACTTGCGGAGGCCCTGCGCGGCTGTTACCCCCCGTGTCATCGGATTCGGCGGCTGACGTCAAAAAAGGAGAGAAAGTGAGCAAGATTGAGTGAGATAGGAAAGCAGAAAATAAAAGAATTCCATCTGGTTTGAAGGAAAAGCACTGAGTGGAAAACCCAGAAAGAATTCACCGGCGTATGAGGGGCTGTCATGGCTGGGGTATTAAATGTGTATTTGCTGTAATGAATGCGGTCAGTCCCCGTCTGGCTGAAGCTGTGGAACAACACACAGTCTGACAGTGGCAGGAATGTTGCGGGTGCTGGTTTCGGCATTAGGCGGCATTAAGTCAAAGCCCAAAGCATGCTACCAACACGGCAGTCTCGGGGGCGAGCTTAGCACCTTCATCACCGGCGTACGCACTGATCAGAATGCATAAAAACGGCCAGTCGAAAAACCTTTAAGAGCCCAAAGTGAGCCTTGTGTGAGCTGGTTATTAGAGCGTGCTGATGAGCTTTATGCACTTAATTCAGCAGAGCATGTCAAACAATTATCTGAAGAACTGACAGTCATTTTCATTCACAGCTGATCATTTTTTAAGTGCACTTTCACCACCAATGTTAACGGTTTTCGCTGTCATGCACCCCTGAGGTCACGGTCAACTCTTACCTCCTGTAAGCGCCCTGAAGAGGAGACGGGATTAGCGGCAATAGACGGTCTTATTCTTCTACATCCACACAAAGACAAGTTCAATCATCCGCCCCCCAACCTCCGCTCACCTAAAACACACACTTATTACAGGCCTGTCCGTCATGTGACCGCATATCTTTTCTATGACTGGTTAGGACGGTCAGTTCTATTGTTGGAGGCACGGAGATGAGTTATACCTGCTGCCTTCAAGTGCTCATCATTATCCGCGACACGTGGAGGACAGAAGCTGGAGCTGCTGCGTCTTTCATGTTGAAGAACTTGAAAAAATGTGGTGGTTGGTGTGGTTTCTTTAGATAAATAACACCTTTTGCTGCACTGGGAGTGTGTTCATTAGAAAATATTATATGTATATCATATAGTTTATGCACAGCTGTTAACACAAAGCATCTACTATTAGATACCAGACTATTATTAACGCATTACATCTTGGCTGTTAACTGGGACAAGATCCTTCACTGAAGCTCATATAGCTTAAAATTGGGTCAAATTCTGACAGAATTTAGGGAACATGTTGCTGCACTGTCTCAGATTTTGCTTAGAGTTACTTAAATAGTCCTTAATTGTAATTTGGGACTCACAACTAAGTTCTGTGAAACACTGTGGATGAATTTTTTTTTGAGTTTTACATGTTTTCTGACTTTTTGTATTTTACCCTCAGAGAGACATCTGTACCTGAGAAGCCAATTTAAAGGTTCAACATCTCCAGAAAGAAAACTCCAACAGCCATGACAGTTGGTGAGGACACACATTAAATTGTTTACAGCAGATCCAAGGAACGATGCGCTCGTGAGGGTGAAAATACAAACACTGTCGAGTCTGAAAACAAAGGAAATTCTCAAAATTCAGCCAAAGTGTTTTGCAAAAATCTAAGTTTTGGACCCCAAATAACAAATACGTAAACCGCTATCTGAAATTACACATACTGACAGAGTTACAGAATGTATGAAAGCACCTAAACGCAGCAGAGGACGACTGGGTTCTTAGGATCTAACGGAATATCTTTTCATATTAAACTGAAAAAAATCGACGTTTAGGAAAGAGTGAAGTGCTTTTTGAATATCTGCCCAAACGCTTGCAAGAATAATCAAACATACAGCGTATTACTGGGGCGACTGTGGCTCAGGTGGTAGAGCTGGTTGTCCTCCAATCACAAGGCTGGCAGTACGATCCCCCACCCCTCTACAGTCGAAGTGTCCTTGGGCAAGACACTGAACCCAAAGTTGCTCCCAATGGCAGGCAGCACCTTGCATGGCAGCTCTGTCACCACTGGTGTATGAATGTGTGTGTGAATGAGTGAATGAGTAACACGCTGTAAAGTGGTTTGTATATAAGTGCCATTTACCAAGTATATCTGCAGGTGACTGAAAACTAATTGTAATTAAGCGGTATAACAACAGTGCTTCTGATGCCTTAAAGAACACTGTGTTAGTTCCAGCACTGTAAAAAGTGCAGTTTTATTGCTTTTTGATGGCGAAAAAGCTGCATTTTGATATCAACTACTACAAAGCACTATAAGAAGCAGAATTTTGGCAGCTTTTGATGGCATGAAAAGTGGCATTTTAATTAGAGCGCTGTACAGAACGGCGTTATATCTGCTTTTGATGGTGTAAAAAAAAAATGCCGTTTCACTGTGACGCATTGGAGCGCTGTAAAAAGCAGCATTTTACTGTACGACATTTTTGGAAGCATAGGAATCGCTGTTTTATTAAAGCGCTGTACAAAAAAAATCATATTATTGGCTTCTGATGGCATAAAAAGCTGCGTTTTATAGCAAGTCACCAGAGCGCTGTAAAAAGTGACATTTTGGTAGTTTAACTGGCATAAAAAGCGCATTTTAATCGGAGCGCCATAAAAAGTTTTTTTTTGGGGGGGGAGCTTTTGACAACGTTAAATGTGTCATTTAATGGTCTAAAAGTTCTACAGTAAGTCACCTAAGCGCTGTCAAAGTGGCATTTTTGTAGCTTTCATTGGCATAAAAAGTGTCACTTTAATTAAAACACCATAAAAAGTTCCCTTTTTGTTCTTTTTTGACAATGTAAAATGCAGCATGTTAATTACAGTGCCATAAAAATGTTTTGTTTATTGGTTTCTGCGGCATAAAAAGCTAAAAATCACTAAATCACCAGAATGCTGTGAACAGTGGCGTCCTTCATGGCTGTAAAATTTGTTTCTTTACTTTTGACCAGCATAAAAACTGTTGTATTAATTACGGCGCTATATGAAGCTTAACCCTTGTTTTCTACAGGAAGTCAAGCGTGGTGACATTTTGGTAGCTTCTATTGATATAAAAAATTTGCATTTTAATTACAGCCCCATAAAAAGACACTTTTTTTGGCTTTTGACAGCATAGAAAGCACAGTTTTAATTAGTGTTGTAAAAATCCTATTGTAATAGCTTTAGACAACATTAGAAGCATTGTTTCAATCAGTGTGCTGTAAAAAGTCTGTGGCATGAATGGTATAAAATGATGCTGTGTTCAGATGAAAGTGAACAAAGCCGCATATTTTTGAGCTTTTGACAGCTTAAGAAGTAGCATTTCAGAATGCTGTAAAAGGAAGATTATTTAAAAACTTTTACAGCAAAAAAAAAGAGTTGTTTTAATTGTAAAAAGAGGCTTTTCAGGGCTTTTGATTGTGTGAAAAGCAGCATTTTACTGTAAAACATCTGAGCACTATAAACATCAACATTTGGGCAGGGTTTGATTACTTAAAAAGCTGTGTTTTTTTTTTGTTTTTTTTTAAAAGTTTAACTAAACACACCAATCAGTTTTTTCAAATTTAGATCATAGAAAACGTGGCATTTTGGCACAGTTTGACCATGTAAACAGAGCTACCTTTATGATATCAATCACACGCAAACGAAGCTTTTTGGCACTTTCGGTTTCCGTAGACTAGCATAGCACCAGCCGATCCGCTACGTGTCGCCCTCTTCAGTATAAACACACTTAAGCCATGATTTTCTGAACCGAGGAGCACATCTGTGTTGTCTGCCACAAAACCCAACAGTTTATACTGTCACATTTGTTTCTGCAAGGTCCAGTTCGAAAAACTACAAAAGCTACACATTTGGCTAGCTAGCTTAAGTTAACTACTAGCTAGCTAAACCAGCTACGTTGAGCGTCACAAACCTGACACACCTTTACTTCACATTATTAATCACTTATTAATCATAATTTATGACGGCTAGAGTAGAATAAGTCCATCTTACCTCATGTTAGACAGACTCGTGGACTTTTTGTCCCCCTTCAGCTCCTTCAGTTTCTCCTCAGTTGTCTAATTTCATCTAAAAACGTTTAATATCTGTAGTGTTTGTAGCTACCGTTAGCTAGCTAACTTTGCTAATGTTTGCTTGAAACCTACAATGTCTTTACTGTAAGAGTTTGTACTGTAACGTTCAGCACACTGGTGGTGAAATGACCAACATTATTAACAGTAAATGTACCTGCTGTGGTACTTTTATAACAAGAGGTAGCTTTAACTCATTGAGGTTGCTCAGCTTGTTGAACTGTTTTCTGTCAACAACCGCATTTCACAGTGTTTGTGGACAGAGCCACCACCCGAAGTACACAAATGAACCATAACTAGTTTAAATGTTGACTCTGTGATGTGTCTTAGAACCTACAGAATTAAATACAATCTTCATTTACATGACTAAATTAAATTGTAAGTTCAAGACACTACAGTATTATTATTTATGGAGATTTACATGATAATAGTAAATAAATAAACAAATAAACAAATTGACCAACTTGCAGCAGTGCAGAAAACACAAGTTTGGTGGAATAAAGTGTTTTGACAATTTTGTGTGGAATAAATCTTGAAACCTATAAATCGCAGACATAGAACTTTGGAAATGTAGCATTTTGGATGGAATAAACTTCATAATAACCTATACTTCACACATTAACTACATGTACAATGTAGTATTTTGGTAGAAATTAATCTTCCAAACTACAAGTTACAGACTAAGTACTTAGATGTTCTAGTACAGGGGTGGGCAATCCTGGTCCTCGAGAGCCACAATCCTGCATGTTTTAGACGTTTCCCTCTTCCAACACACCTGATTCAAATGATCAGCTCATCATCAAGCTCTGCAGAAGCCTGATAACCATCCTGATCATGTGAATCAGGTGTGTTGGAAGAAGGGAAACATCTAAAACATGCAGGACTGTGGTCCTCGAGGACCAGGATTGCCCACCCCTGTACTAGTGTCTTGAGTGGAATAAACATTTAAAACTATAAGTCACAGACTACATACTTGGAAAATGTATTATTCTGGGTGGAATAAAGCTTTAAAACTCCAAGCTGCAGATTAAGTAGTTGAACAATGTCGTATTTTGGGTGGAACAAACCATAAGTACTTGTACAAAGAAGTATTTTGGTTGGAATAAACTCTTAAAACTATAAGTTGTGGACTACATCCTTGGGTAATGTAGTATTTTAGTTGGAATAAGATTAGATTAGATATAACTTTATTGATCCCTTTGGTAGGGTAGCTCAGGGAAATGAAAATTACAAGTTGCAAAGTAAATACTTGAACAATGTAGTATTTTATGTGGACTAAACCCTTAAGACCATGAGTTGAAGACTGAGTACTTTGCAAATGTAGTATTTAGGGTGGAATTAACTATAAGTTTGGATTAATGATGGATGCCATCCTACTGTACAGGCTGGTTCACACGTGGCTTCCTGAGTCATCATCAACAGTATTATTTGTACTTGTCAAGATGTCTGCTGTGAAAAAATGATGCTGGTGAAAGATGTGAAATGAAATGAAAATGTCTTTGAATACTCACATTTTGATTATCAAGCCTGAGGAAGTCTAACATTTTGCCAAATTTTGTCAACACAGTACATGATGTGGGCAACAACAGAGTGGCAGAGTTACGAAAGGAAACTTTGCAATGTGGAATACCTCAATGTCTTTATTGCTGTTGTTGAATCAAAGGTACAATGTTCAAAACATTCATCCGCTAGGAAACTGCCCACTTGTATGACATTGGGAGAGAGAGACTACAGAGAGTGTGTTTTTGCATAGGCTTAGCGCTACACAAACAACAAGTGTCTGGTTAAACATGGAAATGAAAGAATTTTAAAAAACATTAAAAAGGACACAAGGTTGTAAAAAACAAAAAAAAACAATACAGCATTATGAAACCACTGTATTAGCAAAAAAAATTAAATCAAACATATAAATGTCACATTAAATCACGCGTAGAAATGTTTTGGTCCAGCTCCCCTGCTCTTTTCAGGAGCCATGGAATGTGATTGTCAGACACTTGAGCAGTTACATCGATCAATTTAATGCCCTGACAAACTGTTCATATTATAATCAAAGGGAATGTGCTACTTAAGAACAAGTCAGTGGAAAATAAACATGAAAATCACAAGTCTCGAAAAAAAACAAAAAGTCATACTGAGTCGCTATGAGGCGTTTATGTACTGTACCTCAGCTGTCGTAAATGTTGTCGTTGCAATCATAAGGCCAGAAGTTTTACATAGTGGTAAATATCCTTGTACTACTATCTTGCTATATGCGTAGGCACCCTGATTTTACTTTGTATGCCCTCAATTAGAAAAGCATTGCCGAGCATAAGAGTGTGCATAGAGGCAAATAAGAAAGTTAAAGGTAGATTAAGAACAAAATAAAAAAAAAAGATGGTCGCTCATATCCTACGTTATAAAACCTACAGCGAAGGCACCACCTGCTTTTAAGAGGAATGTCTGAAGATTTTAAAGTGATCGAACAGGTACAAAAGCTAGAAAAAAACAAATTGGCTAGAAAAAAAGAGAAAACACATTTAAACATAAATAAAAAAGGACAATAAAATGGCCTTCTGGATGTTCAACACTCCGAATTAACTGCCTGTTGGTGAATAGTTTCTGGATATGAAAAAGAAGCAAAAATACCTTTTTTTTTTTTTGTTATGCGTATACAGATGTTATAAATGATACAGGATGATATTCAAAACATCACATGTGCTAACATATATTACTCAGACCGTCGCTGCACTATTGGTAAGACATAATAAAAGTGAAATCCGCTAAATTCTAGAAGTGCTTATATTTCTATCCTGAACAGGTGAACGTTGAATAAAATAGCAAATGTGTGAAGCTTTTGCTTTAAATATAAATAAAAAAAAGAGAGAGAGATGGAAAATAATCGGTACGAGGGAGGTTTCACCCATCTCTTTGGAATGTGGAAACTTGTCTACTCTGTCAAAGATACATCTAAAATTTAATTAGTTTTGTTTTCCTGGCAGGATTTTTTTTAGATAAAGAAATTACAAATGTCCAAATTTCACAGCATTTTTTTTTCCTTTCTTTTTTTTTTGTTTTTGTTTTTTAGAAAGCAAGAATCATTGTGCAAAGGCACTATACATGGCAACCTTACAAAATGACGCTGATGCTGTTTCGGTACAGTGCTCGGACAGCGCGTCCCCTGTCCCTCCGTGGTCTTAAGGGTCCCCCTCTTGGGATGTGTGTGGTCATTATTTGGTTCTCAAGAAAAAGTCAAAAGGAAGAGTCTTGGATTGTCGTGGTCCCCAGCGTTAGTGGCTCCTTCGAGACATTAGTGTCCCATACCTGTTGAAAGACACAAAACGAGTCTATCAGGGGTTTAAATACACGTCTGCGGACAGGTGTGGGTTAATGACGCCGACCTTCTGACACTGAAGGTCAAACCAAGCAGCAAACACCTCGGCAGAGAGTTTAAAGGCTACTTGATGCTGGCGCCATAAAGACGATGAGTGTATTGAACTTACTTCAAACACAGAAGTTACTCAAGGAGTCAGAATAGTTGTACTGCTTTTAATATATTTTTCACAAGGCAACTGCTACAGATTTTTACCCCACTAACCCATAAGAAGGCTATTCTTGATCAATCCCTGAATTTTTCAGCAGATATTGACAGCGACGTCGGCACGGTGCTTCAGCATTTAGCTTAAAGGTGAAGTACAGCCTCACAAAGCCCCAAGCGTGAACTCTTAACCTGTATTTCATTATTCAGACGCAAACAAAAACAGGCCACTAAATACTATCATCAAGAAGGGCTAAACGATTTGGGGAAACTTTTCTGACAGATGTTGTGATTTGAATTCAAGCTTCAGTTCAATGTTGTCTGTGCAGCAGATTTAAAACATGATGAAGCCGAACCACATCAAAAACCTGAATACCGCTGATAAAGTTAAACTCTGGGAGAAACATGCTGCATATTCTACAGCACAGCCTTTGCAATTTGCGAACTCCACTGTGCGAGTGTCCTTAAAATAATCAGGATGCTTGATGACACGTGCTTCTGATTTATTGAAAAGCAGAGTAACAGGAGCTGCTAATGGACATTTTTACCATATTCAGTAAAAGGCAGACTTGGAGCAGATTGACTCTCTAAACCTAAACAAGCTAACTGATTACGATTGGTCACTAATTTTACAAAAACTGAATAAATATGGAATGAATACGTACAACATTTTTCCAAATACCCACAGGTCTGACTAATACACTGCCTGCAGTTCAGCCAAAAGTCTATGAACTCTTGTCACGTGACTGTTGGGTGTATTTGAGTCACTCACAACTTCACGGTTGTGCCGAGGAGGTCAGAATTTTTTGATTTTAAAGAGTCTTTTTAGTGAAAACGCTTGACCTCTTGTCATTTTTATAAATGAGACATGTAGAATAAAGAGATTTTAATGAAATATCACAGCTTTAAGCTCAGATGTGGTTTCATTTCCTTCAGATGAGTGGTACAAAGAGCATTGAAAGTTGTTTGTTTTTACAGTTTCAGCTCTGAAAAGTGGTGCATTTTGGGCATTTTGTTGAAACACAACATGCCTTTCAAACCCACGAGGCAGATTCGCGGTTCGGAAGGTTAAAAGCTTAACTGTACGCTCTATTGCAACCCTGCAGAAAGACATTTTCTATACAAACATGAGCAGAAATTATCAATAGCTTTCCAATCTGCTATAATTCCTTTTAAAACTACAAAGTTCTACATACAGTAAAGGGTCTGAGGGTTAAATATCAGCACACTCCATCTCCAAAAGGGCCCATGTTATTTTAGAAGCTCTCTATTAGAGTCAGGCATGTGAGGAGTGTGGGGCTGCTAACGTGCATGCGGCCCACTGTAGTGTCAGATGTCTATAAGGTCCTGCAGCCAGCGCCTGGCAAATCCAAAATGTGTACAAATCCTCTGTCATCCTCTGAGTCACCCTGCGATGGTGTGCTAATCTCCAACATTCCAGCTATTAATGCGACAAACCAGCCTGGCAGGAACGCTGCTTGTAAGACCCCCCGGCTCTGAGCGGCACAAGTGGAAGGGTTTGAGTGGCGTCGAGCTGGCTGCTGAGGGCGCGTTTATAGAGGTGAAATTGGTGTGTGATCCTGCGCACTGGACAAGGGACGTATTACGGCGGCATGTACAGAATCCCTCAAGGCCGAAACCCCTCTCCTGCCCGCCGGCGGGGGGCGATTTTTTTTAAAAATAGCACACAATGTTTAAGTGGCATCCTGAGACGCTGCAGAACAAACGAAAGGCCAGACAGCGAACTGGAAAAGGCTGCTTACTGGTCTTGGGACACATGGTGCTGGATAAATCACAGACAACTGACAAGATGACACACTTAACGAGAAGGTCACACCTCCAATCTGTGAGAAAATATTGCCATCCTGCCAAAGCGCCTGGACGTTTGTCCAAACAAACACGACTGGCGTGAACGATCACGTGCACGACCTACACGACCCACTTCTACTGGAGAGCCGAGACACCTGGTTGGACGTCGGTGTGATCTTGAACTTGTGTTCGCTGTGTTTGCCCTCCAAGAGACTCCTGGCTGTACACAGTGAGACAACCTCTGTCCATGTTCTTTAAAAGACTGTTCAGGAGGCCAGTGTGATGGAATGGTAGAAAACTGCTCAATAGAATGCTTGGTAGGTTCTCTTCAATGCATTGGATTCAAACCGCCATGAAGACATATAAAGAAACTGGGGAGAGACACATTATTGAGGTCGATATGTGACATTTTCCTGGTCATTAACTAACTACAGATATAATGAATTAAACGCTCTACTTTGGCTTTCTCTATAAAGACACTCTGTGGTCTCGAGCAACGTAGCTCTATCTGATTCGATACAGATCACAAGGAAGAGCTAATCAACACTAAAAGCCACAACGGTCAGCTAGCGGAGATTTGTTTCGAAGGTGAGCTAGCGGACGCTGCTAAAGTTGGAAGAAATATCTTCCACAATCATCCCCGTTCCCTGTTACAATAAAAACGCCCAAATAATTTACTTGTTGCGTGTCAGTGCAACTTTAACTTATTTTGTCGACGATGCTAGGCTACGGCTAACTCTCAGGGGCTTGCTGTCGGGCCTGTGGCTAATGTTATCTTAAGCACCTGTAAAATCTTTCTAAACTAAGATTAATTTTACCCTTTTGCTCTAACTGACAGACACATCTCTCTAGCATCTCTATAACATTTGCAAAAACTTAACAAGAAGCCCAGCTTTCACCAGAAAATGCAGAAATAAGCTACTTTCATAGTGGCTAAGGCTATGCTAACGGCTAGCGGCTAAGTTTAGAGGCAGTGACAGTGTAGCAATAAAGCAATAAAAGTGATAAAATAGTTGCATAAGCATGAACAAAACAAAAAAAGACGTATTTCTTCATTTACTTAATATGTATAATGTTGAAATGATTCCTTTATTTATCTTGATTTATGTGCGTAACTGTTTTTTCATAGTTAACATTACATTTATTACTTGTGTACCTTGATAAACAGGCTAAAATCAAGATAAGGTGCTCCAATTCAAATTAAACCTTTTTTTAGTTTTATTTATTTAAAACAGGAAGAAAAATAAATAAAAGAACAATAATTAGGGCTGCGAGGTGGCTCGGTGGTTAGCACTGTTGCCTTGCGACCCTAATGAGGATGAAGCCGTGTATAGATAATGGATGGATGGATGGATGGATGAATGGATGGATGGATGGAGTGATAGATGGAACAATAACTATCAATACCGTCTGAAATAGACATTTACTCATGATAAATTGTACAACTCTATCCCCCAGTCCTACTGTCTAGGGCCCCTTTAAATGTGACCAATGTAATGCCAGCAAGCATGTAAAAGCATACTGCCACTGTCACTGCAACTCATTATGGTCATTTTCATATTTTTAACTAAAGGATTTAAGGCACCTCTGAGGATGGAGAAAGCCACCACTCTTGGTTTCTGAAACTAATTAGAAAAATGTAAAAAAAAACAAAAACAACAAAACAAAAACACTGCGGCCAAGCTGAGAACAAGGCAGTATTTTAAGAGGTTCTGAAATGCTGACATTCTGCAAGCCACCAGTTAATTCCACGACAGCAGAATGCAAGCCCACATGACTGGCTGCACATTTGTCAGTTTTCCTTTCTGCGCACACTTGTGGTGCCTTGTTAAAAAGAAAAACTCACCATTGGCGACTGATTTGGTCTCCCCTCTGCCTGCCACCTGGAAGACAAACAAACAGGAAGGTAAGTCAGCATTAAAACTTCAGCTCAAACACCTATGCAGACTGCTGAACCTATCCAGATCTCCCTCAGCCGTCGTCATCCTGCTCATTCTGTTCCCCCCCTGACATCACAGCATAGCACGGTTAGCTAATAACAAGGTCGCTAACCGCTACCTTTCCTGTCCAGGGCCCTTTTTACGTCAGCTGCAGACCACCACTCACTGGCGGACCACAGCCTCCGGCCCGCACAGCAGCTGTTGGCTGCAGAAAAACGCAGCTCCCAGAGTAGGAAGGAATGAAGGAAGGAAGGTAAGTTTATAGGAAAATGAGTGACAAAGTAGGATATCGTCATCAGACTGCTTCTTCAACTCACCACCTCTGCATATACGGTTTTATTTATCTAAATGAATTAAGACGAGACAAGTCGATCCTGTCAGGCTTGTTTGAAAATGGGAGGCGATAACAGTGATTTGAAGCTGTCAAAGTGCCGCTGCAAAGCCCAGCAAGGCGTCTTCCCTGTAAAGAACGCTGTAAACAGTTTCTCCATTAGGGCAATAAAAAGTTAAGTGAAGCTGGACGGAGAGCGGTGATTTGTGGTTGTCAGAAGAAGGAGCGGTGATGTGATACAGCCATTTGTGAGAAGCGTTCAGCCTGCAGTTGGACAACAGGCGCACTGTTAAAGGTTTTTTTTTTTTTTTTTTTACGACGCAGAATTTATACCGAACTGTAATCTTCTGGATTCTGTTGAGTCGGCTTTAACAAGTTATGGGTGTTAATGGAGTCAACAGCTTAACCCTTCTTTAAATTGCCTTTACTGGAGCTTTATTGATATGTTCACTTTGAGCCGTTTTATTTTTACAGCACTTTAAAAAAAAAATTTGGCAAATATGTTTGACAATTCCAAAAAGGTCCTTGTGCTCTTTTTGCGAAGGAACTGATGTTTATTGCTCGTAATCTACACAATCAGAGCCTCTAAAATACTGCGCGTGAAGGAGCTGTGAGAGTTGATACCTTTAATAATACGAAAGGTGACGCATTCGTCGAATCGTAAATGTCCAGTTTTGGACAGTTATGATCGTTACAGCTAAAGGAAGCAGCAGTGTCCAACCGCAGCAGAACAGAGTACAGCTAGTGTGGCAGCAGTGTGTGTGTGAGGCCATTCTGTGCTCTGAGAACGGTTATTGTTTTACCTCTCCAGGCTTTTTTCCAGATTTAACGGTGAGGTCAACTAGCTATGAGAGTTCTTTAAAACAAAAGCAAACACAAGTTATTGTTACTCCGGTCAAAAGTATCGTGAGATTGTTCCCACTCTTTCTACTCCATAACGTTCTCTTGATTGACAACAACTTGCAAAACCACGGAAAGCCTTCCAAGACCACAAACCAGCTTGGCACAGTTAAAACTTCATCTGGACACGCTCCAGGATGCGTAATGCTCGCTTGGATTTTCCCCCCCGACGGGTAAAGACTCCGATCGCCCTGCAAATCTTTCCTCATGTGACCAGAGAGTGAATCTGCTGGAATTAAGAATAGCTACCTTGGTTGGAGAGGCGCCTTTGTTTTCCCATAGACTCCTCTTGTTGGTGACGTCGACCGGCTTCAGGTCCTGTCAGAGAGAATTGGAAAACAGGAGGCGTTTTATCGGCGGTCCTCGACGTTTCGGAGGTCTATTTGAAAACAGTCATCGTGTGGCGGCAATAGCAGAGCAGCTGAGATGTAGAAGCTAAAAGGAATGACAGAGGAGGACTGACAGACACTATCAGGCAGGGAGTGTTTGTCTGGATGAAGTGGAAAATAACACAGAGAGTCTGAGGCAGTCCACTTTCAAGAGACGCCATCGGAGAGCAAAGCAGAATTCAGGCAAGATTTTTTTTTTTTATATCATAACACTGGATAACAGCATTTTAAGGGCAAATAAGTTTGCACTCTATTCCCTTGTTGCGCGTCGGAAATTATTTGCATTCAAAGTTTCCTCCCTCTCCGCTGATCTGTGGTGCCTATTTTAGCACAAGCCATAATCTGCCACATGGAGAGCTCCAGCATAAATATTTGGGTAAAATATAGGCGTAATACTCAAGAGCAGGAGAGGAAAGAAAAAGTTTGCTCGAGCAAAGATTACAATAAGCTTAAGATAAAATGCTTCAGTGACACTTTATTCCAAACTACTGCCAAGCCTACAATGTCCACATGCGCTGGGTCTGGATATCATAACAGCAGGAGGAGACTGCAGCAAGGCTCTGAAGTCACTTCCATTTGTGGCCACCAGGTGGTGCCAGACAGACAACGTGTCAGCCTGACTGGCTTCACTGCTTCATTTGAAAATGATCATAAAACTTGTCCTGCACAGAGCAGAGCCAGCAGTGATCATGACATAATAATAACAACAATAATAATATCACAGGGCTCCTGGAACCGTCAGGAAGCTGCACTTTTTTATGTGAAGTAGAGCAGCGTGGAGAGTTTACAGGGTCACTGCTCTCATGCTGAACTGACGACTGAATCCTGAACATAAATATACATAAACGTGACCATTTGAAAAGAGATGGAATGAATAAATGTTGCATGAACCCTCTGGAATCCCAACACATGGTGGCAGGTTTGATAAGCCTGTTATCTTTATCTTAATTTATCAAAGCTACAAACAATAAACACACGTCCTGGAACTACTTATTGTCATTCTGTCGGATTATCTTGCTTTAAAATTGTGATATTTCTTCAAAATCACTTTGTTTTACGTGCCTCAAGTGAAACTGTACCACATATAAACTGTTTGAGTAACAAGATCCTGTAAAAAAAATAAACTCCTCGAAGCAACATGAAGCTATTAGTGACGATTAATAGTATGGAGACAAAAATTCTGCTAGTTTGCAGGCTGTGTTTAAACAGAGCAGTACGGGAACAAATTCAAATAGAAACTGATCAGATATTTCCATACCTGCCACCTATCTGCTCAGTGTAAACACAGCCTGCAGTTCAGCTGAGTAATCTTAGAATTTCAGTAACTGTGTCATTGGTTTGATTCTGTTGGGAACAAAAGTTCTGTCAGGAGTCGAATCAGTCAGTCCACATTCTTGACGCAGATCCTTGTGGATTTGGAGTCAGAAGTGCACAGCCCGGCTAGCTCAGTCGGTAGAGCATGAGACTCTTAATCTCAGGGTCGTGGGTTCGAGCCCCACGTTGGGCGATTGCGTTTTAGGCCGTGCACTCTGGCCCAGATAATCTAACACTGTATCACCTTCCATGAAAGCTGTTGAACTGCAACACTCTAAAACTGACAGGAAGTAACTGCAGAAGGGGAACAGTGCAAACCTGACAGGGAGACTTTCTTTCAGCGGTCAGGACGGCTGAGCAGTCCAACGGTACATGTCCGCAGGGGTGTTTCTACACATGAGGGATCGCGCCGCTTCTCAACAACTCTGCAGTGTATGATGGATGACTGACAGCTGCTCTTTAACAGGATCCACCCCCTGCAGCTTCGCAAACATTGGCTGCACCTGACTGGACCAGGCCGCCTGCTTCTAGGTTCTGCCAGGAAGCTCAGAATTTTGCGTTTTTTGCTGAATTTGGTTCGCACAAATGGGTGATTGTTGTCATATTTATAAAAGACGCATGTAGAATAAACTGATTTTGTTGAAATGTGGTCATTAAATGTGATTAATTCAGTGAATGACACAACACCTCACACACGACTTGAAACTTGAGAATGTGTTGATTCTCCCATAATTTACAGTTTGTGATTCTGGTAAATTGTGTAATGATGTTGGTGATTGTTAAAGATAACAAGCCTTTTAAACCTGCTGGTGAGTTTTTTGGATTTAAAGAAAACATGAGGACATTCATCACAATGCAGGTCAGTTGTTTTTGCAGCACATGTTGTGTGTTTCCAGCAGTGACAGGTTGCTACGGCGGCGACCTACCGCTGGCCTTCCTCCTGACGTCTTGCCGCTCTCTGGGGTTTTATTCAGCCAGTCGTTGATGCGGCCTGCCACGCCCGTCTTCATCACAGCTGCTTCCTGTTTGCACAGGGTCAAAGGTCAGCCAAGCGTGGTCGTCATCGGCAACAGGACCAAGCAGGAAGTACCAGTGAATTGGGCTCTTTCCTCTTTCTCTCTCTCTCTGGTCTAACTTTCTTACATTCTCCACTACATCATTTTAAATATAGAGTTTTTTTTTACCTTGAATGGGCTTCCGCCGCTTCCAGGCGAGCTGAACACGTTGCCTTTCTCCCACATGCTCTTGATGTTTCGTATGCTATCGGTGACCATGGGCAAATCCACCGCTCCCGAGCGAGGGGATCGAGACTCCTTGTTCTCTCTCTGCAGGGACAAAACGGGTGGGTTTGAACTGCCGAATAGCAAGGATGGCTCCTCTGAGCTCAGAGCTCAAAGCTCTTTAAAGCTTCTTTAAAAAAAAACAAAAAAAAAAACCTCTCATGAGCTTGCTAATAATAACAAATCTCTGCAGCATCTTTGGTATGTCTTCAAAGCGGACTGAGGAATATTACTGATGAAGCTTTTGTGTGTTCAAATCCACAGAGAAACGTGTTGGGTGTGACTTGAAAAAGGATATAAGCATGAGGGAGCTATTTCTGACTGACAGGTTTGGGGCAACTTATAGACCCAAAATGACAACAANCTTCAGATGAGTGGTACAAAGAGCACTGAAAGTTGTTTGTTTTTACAGTTTCAGCTCTGAAAAGTGGTGCATTTTGGGCATTTTGTTGAAACACAACATGCCTTTCAAACCCACGAGGCAGATTCGCGGTTCGGAAGGTTAAAAGCTTAACTGTACGCTCTATTGCAACCCTGCAGAAAGACATTTTCTATACAAACATGAGCAGAAATTATCAATAGCTTTCCAATCTGCTATAATTCCTTTTAAAACTACAAAGTTCTACATACAGTAAAGGGTCTGAGGGTTAAATATCAGCACACTCCATCTCCAAAAGGGCCCATGTTATTTTAGAAGCTCTCTATTAGAGTCAGGCATGTGAGGAGTGTGGGGCTGCTAACGTGCATGCGGCCCACTGTAGTGTCAGATGTCTATAAGGTCCTGCAGCCAGCGCCTGGCAAATCCAAAATGTGTACAAATCCTCTGTCATCCTCTGAGTCACCCTGCGATGGTGTGCTAATCTCCAACATTCCAGCTATTAATGCGACAAACCAGCCTGGCAGGAACGCTGCTTGTAAGACCCCCCCGGCTCTGAGCGGCACAAGTGGAAGGGTTTGAGTGGCGTCGAGCTGGCTGCTGAGGGCGCGTTTATAGAGGTGAAATTGGTGTGTGATCCTGCGCACTGGACAAGGGACGTATTACGGCGGCATGTACAGAATCCCTCAAGGCCGAAACCCCTCTCCTGCCCGCCGGCGGGGGGCGATTTTTTTTAAAAATAGCACACAATGTTTAAGTGGCATCCTGAGACGCTGCGGAACAAACGAAAGGCCAGACAGCGAACTGGAAAAGGCTGCTTACTGGTCTTGGGACACATGGTGCTGGATAAATCACAGACAACTGACAAGATGACACACTTAACGAGAAGGTCACACCTCCAATCTGTGAGAAAATATTGCCATCCTGCCAAAGCGCCTGGACGTTTGTCCAAACAAACACGACTGGCGTGAACGATCACGTGCACGACCTACACGACCCACTTCTACTGGAGAGCCGAGACACCTGGTTGGACGTCGGTGTGATCTTGAACTTGTGTTCGCTGTGTTTGCCCTCCAAGAGACTCCTGGCTGTACACAATGAGACAACCTCTGTCCATGTTCTTTAAAAGACTGTTCAGGAGGCCAGTGTGATGGAATGGTAGAAAACTGCTCAATAGAATGCTTGGTAGGTTCTCTTCAATGCATTGGATTCAAACCGCCATGAAGACATATAAAGAAACTGGGGAGAGACACATTATTGAGGTCGATATGTGACATTTTCCTGGTCATTAACTAACTACAGATATAATGAATTAAACGCTCTACTTTGGCTTTCTCTATAAAGACACTCTGTGGTCTCGAGCAACGTAGCTCTATCTGATTCGATACAGATCACAAGGAAGAGCTAATCAACACTAAAAGCCACAACGGTCAGCTAGCGGAGATTTGTTTCGAAGGTGAGCTAGCGGACGCTGCTAAAGTTGGAAGAAATATCTTCCACAATCATCCCCGTTCCCTGTTACAATAAAAACGCCCAAATAATTTACTTGTTGCGTGTCAGTGCAACTTTAACTTATTTTGTCGACGATGCTAGGCTACGGCTAACTCTCAGGGGCTTGCTGTCGGGCCTGTGGCTAATGTTATCTTAAGCACCTGTAAAATCTTTCTAAACTAAGATTAATTTTACCCTTTTGCTCTAACTGACAGACACATCTCTCTAGCATCTCTATAACATTTGCAAAAACTTAACAAGAAGCCCAGCTTTCACCAGAAAATGCAGAAATAAGCTACTTTCATAGTGGCTAAGGCTATGCTAACGGCTAGCGGCTAAGTTTAGAGGCAGTGACAGTGTAGCAATAAAGCAATAAAAGTGATAAAATAGTTGCATAAGCATGAACAAAACAAAAAAAGACGTATTTCTTCATTTACTTAATATGTATAATGTTGAAATGATTCCTTTATTTATCTTGATTTATGTGCGTAACTGTTTTTTCATAGTTAACATTACATTTATTACTTGTGTACCTTGATAAACAGGCTAAAATCAAGATAAGGTGCTCCAATTCAAATTAAACCTTTTTTTAGTTTTATTTATTTAAAACAGGAAGAAAAATAAATAAAAGAACAATAATTAGGGCTGCGAGGTGGCTCGGTGGTTAGCACTGTTGCCTTGCGACCCTAATGAGGATGAAGCCGTGTATAGATAATGGATGGATGGATGGATGGATGAATGGATGGATGGATGGAGTGATAGATGGAACAATAACTATCAATACCGTCTGAAATAGACATTTACTCATGATAAATTGTACAACTCTATCCCCCAGTCCTACTGTCTAGGGCCCCTTTAAATGTGACCAATGTAATGCCAGCAAGCATGTAAAAGCATACTGCCACTGTCACTGCAACTCATTATGGTCATTTTCATATTTTTAACTAAAGGATTTAAGGCACCTCTGAGGATGGAGAAAGCCACCACTCTTGGTTTCTGAAACTAATTAGAAAAATGTAAAAAAAAACAAAAACAACAAAACAAAAACACTGCGGCCAAGCTGAGAACAAGGCAGTATTTTAAGAGGTTCTGAAATGCTGACATTCTGCAAGCCACCAGTTAATTCCACGACAGCAGAATGCAAGCCCACATGACTGGCTGCACATTTGTCAGTTTTCCTTTCTGCGCACACTTGTGGTGCCTTGTTAAAAAGAAAAACTCACCATTGGCGACTGATTTGGTCTCCCCTCTGCCTGCCACCTGGAAGACAAACAAACAGGAAGGTAAGTCAGCATTAAAACTTCAGCTCAAACACCTATGCAGACTGCTGAACCTATCCAGATCTCCCTCAGCCGTCGTCATCCTGCTCATTCTGTTCCCCCCCTGACATCACAGCATAGCACGGTTAGCTAATAACAAGGTCGCTAACCGCTACCTTTCCTGTCCAGGGCCCTTTTTACGTCAGCTGCAGACCACCACTCACTGGCGGACCACAGCCTCCGGCCCGCACAGCAGCTGTTGGCTGCAGAAAAACGCAGCTCCCAGAGTAGGAAGGAATGAAGGAAGGAAGGTAAGTTTATAGGAAAATGAGTGACAAAGTAGGATATCGTCATCAGACTGCTTCTTCAACTCACCACCTCTGCATATACGGTTTTATTTATCTAAATGAATTAAGACGAGACAAGTCGATCCTGTCAGGCTTGTTTGAAAATGGGAGGCGATAACAGTGATTTGAAGCTGTCAAAGTGCCGCTGCAAAGCCCAGCAAGGCGTCTTCCCTGTAAAGAACGCTGTAAACAGTTTCTCCATTAGGGCAATAAAAAGTTAAGTGAAGCTGGACGGAGAGCGGTGATTTGTGGTTGTCAGAAGAAGGAGCGGTGATGTGATACAGCCATTTGTGAGAAGCGTTCAGCCTGCAGTTGGACAACAGGCGCACTGTTAAAGGTTTTTTTTTTTTTTTTTTTACGACGCAGAATTTATACCGAACTGTAATCTTCTGGATTCTGTTGAGTCGGCTTTAACAAGTTATGGGTGTTAATGGAGTCAACAGCTTAACCCTTCTTTAAATTGCCTTTACTGGAGCTTTATTGATATGTTCACTTTGAGCCGTTTTATTTTTACAGCACTTTAAAAAAAAAATTTGGCAAATATGTTTGACAATTCCAAAAAGGTCCTTGTGCTCTTTTTGCGAAGGAACTGATGTTTATTGCTCGTAATCTACACAATCAGAGCCTCTAAAATACTGCGCGTGAAGGAGCTGTGAGAGTTGATACCTTTAATAATACGAAAGGTGACGCATTCGTCGAATCGTAAATGTCCAGTTTTGGACAGTTATGATCGTTACAGCTAAAGGAAGCAGCAGTGTCCAACCGCAGCAGAACAGAGTACAGCTAGTGTGGCAGCAGTGTGTGTGTGAGGCCATTCTGTGCTCTGAGAACGGTTATTGTTTTACCTCTCCAGGCTTTTTTCCAGATTTAACGGTGAGGTCAACTAGCTATGAGAGTTCTTTAAAACAAAAGCAAACACAAGTTATTGTTACTCCGGTCAAAAGTATCGTGAGATTGTTCCCACTCTTTCTACTCCATAACGTTCTCTTGATTGACAACAACTTGCAAAACCACGGAAAGCCTTCCAAGACCACAAACCAGCTTGGCACAGTTAAAACTTCATCTGGACACGCTCCAGGATGCGTAATGCTCGCTTGGATTTTCCCCCCCGACGGGTAAAGACTCCGATCGCCCTGCAAATCTTTCCTCATGTGACCAGAGAGTGAATCTGCTGGAATTAAGAATAGCTACCTTGGTTGGAGAGGCGCCTTTGTTTTCCCATAGACTCCTCTTGTTGGTGACGTCGACCGGCTTCAGGTCCTGTCAGAGAGAATTGGAAAACAGGAGGCGTTTTATCGGCGGTCCTCGACGTTTCGGAGGTCTATTTGAAAACAGTCATCGTGTGGCGGCAATAGCAGAGCAGCTGAGATGTAGAAGCTAAAAGGAATGACAGAGGAGGACTGACAGACACTATCAGGCAGGGAGTGTTTGTCTGGATGAAGTGGAAAATAACACAGAGAGTCTGAGGCAGTCCACTTTCAAGAGACGCCATCGGAGAGCAAAGCAGAATTCAGGCAAGATTTTTTTTTTTTATATCATAACACTGGATAACAGCATTTTAAGGGCAAATAAGTTTGCACTCTATTCCCTTGTTGCGCGTCGGAAATTATTTGCATTCAAAGTTTCCTCCCTCTCCGCTGATCTGTGGTGCCTATTTTAGCACAAGCCATAATCTGCCACATGGAGAGCTCCAGCATAAATATTTGGGTAAAATATAGGCGTAATACTCAAGAGCAGGAGAGGAAAGAAAAAGTTTGCTCGAGCAAAGATTACAATAAGCTTAAGATAAAATGCTTCAGTGACACTTTATTCCAAACTACTGCCAAGCCTACAATGTCCACATGCGCTGGGTCTGGATATCATAACAGCAGGAGGAGACTGCAGCAAGGCTCTGAAGTCACTTCCATTTGTGGCCACCAGGTGGTGCCAGACAGACAACGTGTCAGCCTGACTGGCTTCACTGCTTCATTTGAAAATGATCATAAAACTTGTCCTGCACAGAGCAGAGCCAGCAGTGATCATGACATAATAATAACAACAATAATAATATCACAGGGCTCCTGGAACCGTCAGGAAGCTGCACTTTTTTATGTGAAGTAGAGCAGCGTGGAGAGTTTACAGGGTCACTGCTCTCATGCTGAACTGACGACTGAATCCTGAACATAAATATACATAAACGTGACCATTTGAAAAGAGATGGAATGAATAAATGTTGCATGAACCCTCTGGAATCCCAACACATGGTGGCAGGTTTGATAAGCCTGTTATCTTTATCTTAATTTATCAAAGCTACAAACAATAAACACACGTCCTGGAACTACTTATTGTCATTCTGTCGGATTATCTTGCTTTAAAATTGTGATATTTCTTCAAAATCACTTTGTTTTACGTGCCTCAAGTGAAACTGTACCACATATAAACTGTTTGAGTAACAAGATCCTGTAAAAAAAATAAACTCCTCGAAGCAACATGAAGCTATTAGTGACGATTAATAGTATGGAGACAAAAATTCTGCTAGTTTGCAGGCTGTGTTTAAACAGAGCAGTACGGGAACAAATTCAAATAGAAACTGATCAGATATTTCCATACCTGCCACCTATCTGCTCAGTGTAAACACAGCCTGCAGTTCAGCTGAGTAATCTTAGAATTTCAGTAACTGTGTCATTGGTTTGATTCTGTTGGGAACAAAAGTCCTGTCAGGAGTCGAATCAGTCAGTCCACATTCTTGACGCAGATCCTTGTGGATTTGGAGTCAGAAGTGCACAGCCCGGCTAGCTCAGTCGGTAGAGCATGAGACTCTTAATCTCAGGGTCGTGGGTTCGAGCCCCACGTTGGGCGATTGCGTTTTAGGCCGTGCACTCTGGCCCAGATAATCTAACACTGTATCACCTTCCATGAAAGCTGTTGAACTGCAACACTCTAAAACTGACAGGAAGTAACTGCAGAAGGGGAACAGTGCAAACCTGACAGGGAGACTTTCTTTCAGCGGTCAGGACGGCTGAGCAGTCCAACGGTACATGTCCGCAGGGGTGTTTCTACACATGAGGGATCGCGCCGCTTCTCAACAACTCTGCAGCGTATGATCGATGACTGACAGCTGCTCTTTAACAGGATCCACCCCCTGCAGCTTCGCAAACATTGGCTGCACCTGACTGGACCAGGCCGCCTGCTTCTAGGTTCTGCCAGGAAGCTCAGAATTTTGCGTTTTTTGCTGAATTTGGTTCGCACAAATGGGTGATTGTTGTCATATTTATAAAAGACGCATGTAGAATAAACTGATTTTGTTGAAATGTGGTCATTAAATGTGATTAATTCAGTGAATGACACAACACCTCACACACGACTTGAAACTTGAGAATGTGTTGATTCTCCCATAATGTACAGTTTGTGATTCTGGTAAATTGTGTAATGATGTTGGTGATTGTTAAAGATAACAAGCCTTTTAAACCTGCTGGTGAGTTTTTTGGATTTAAAGAAAACATGAGGACATTCATCACAATGCAGGTCAGTTGTTTTTGCAGCACATGTTGTGTGTTTCCAGCAGTGACAGGTTGCTACGGCGGTGACCTACCGCTGGCCTTCCTCCTGACGTCTTGCCGCTCTCTGGGGTTTTATTCAGCCAGTCGTTGATGCGGCCTGCCACGCCCGTCTTCATCACAGCTGCTTCCTGTTTGCACAGGGTCAAAGGTCAGCCAAGCGTGGTCGTCATCGGCAACAGGACCAAGCAGGAAGTACCAGTGAATTGGGCTCTTTCCTCTTTCTCTCTCTCTCTGGTCTAACTTTCTTACATTCTCCACTACATCATTTTAAATATAGAGTTTTTTTTTACCTTGAATGGGCTTCCGCCGCTTCCAGGCGAGCTGAACACGTTGCCTTTCTCCCACATGCTCTTGATGTTTCGTATGCTATCGGTGACCATGGGCAAATCCACCGCTCCCGAGCGAGGGGATCGAGACTCCTTGTTCTCTCTCTGCAGGGACAAAACGGGTGGGTTTGAACTGCCGAATAGCAAGGATGGCTCCTCTGAGCTCAGAGCTCAAAGCTCTTTAAAGCTTCTTTAAAAAAAAACAAAAAAAAAAACCTCTCATGAGCTTGCTAATAATAACAAATCTCTGCAGCATCTTTGGTATGTCTTCAAAGCGGACTGAGGAATATTACTGATGAAGCTTTGTGTGTTCAAATCCACAGAGAAACGTGTTGGGTGTGACTTGAAAAAGGATATAAGCATGAGGGAGCTATTTCTGACTGACAGGTTTGGGGCAACTTATAGACCCAAAATGACAACAACAAAAAAAAAAATCAGATTTTTAGCTGATTAAGACTGGAATCAGATGTGGAAGTTCTTTATGTGACCTAATTAAGCTTTTCTCTGGCTTTGGTCCTGTTATCTGGATGTGACTGCATATTTGATTAGTCAGAAAAAAACAAATACATGTACAAAGGCACTAAAGTTAATCAGTTACTTAAAAGAAGCCTGAAAAAGGAACAGAGAAGCTCTTCATCAGGATAAACTATACATGTAGGTTTCTGTTTTTCTTATAGTTGGCTGTATTTGATATTTATACATAAAAGCATTTTATTTAAACATATGTAAAAGTAGATATACTAATAAACTAAAGTGAAAAAAAACATCTTCTTTTGGTGTTTTATGTCTTACTGCTTGTTTTTTTATTCGCTGCACAGCTGTGTTGTGTTATCCAATGTGCAATGGGCCAAATCCTTAAATATAAACTAATTACAAACTACTTCAGTGTCTACATTGCAGCACAAATGTTGATTTTTTGCATCTGATGCATTGCTGACCTGAGCAGCTGAGGTGTACTGCTCCAGCCTGTTGTCTATCTTGGACACCACAGGAGAATGAGACGTCTTCACTGTGCTGCTGGGCAGAAGCAAGTAATTAGCAAACGGTACATGAAAAATGAGACCACTTTGAATATTATACTGCACATACATTATATACAATTTGGTCTTTAGTTCCTAGACTGCAGACACTCAAGTGGGAATTAGAGCTTCAGCTCCAGATTACTTTCTTCCTATTCAGCAAAAAACAGGAGTGCTGAAGAAGCTTTGTTAGCGGCACACAAAATGATTAAAATGATGATGCTTTAAGTTGTATTTTTTTTTTTACCTTTTCTGCGCCGACTTGTTCAGGAACTCTGCTCTCTCTCCAATCTGTGGAGAAAAGGTTAGAAAGGCAGCGAGTTATAAATATTGCAGCAGTGTTCCACTCGTGCATAAATCACCGCAACACTTCTAACAGATGTTAAAGCCGGCTTTCCTTTTGATTTCCGTGCATCTATTTCTCGGTTATTGTTTGCGTAAACCCATCTCTGGCTTCGGTCACTGTGCAGACACACACATGTGATTCAAAGTAATTACTGGGTCTTCGAGATTTATAGCTTAAATAGCAATTATGCACTTAACTTTTTATCCAATAATCCTTTTGACCAAACAAGACTGTATTTTTTTAATAGTCAATATGTCATTTTGTCTCATTTTTTTTAATATGCTCAACAAGTTACACACAATGCAACTGATTGTGCTCAAAATACTATGAAAGACATGCACACACACACAGATAGAGGGGAAAAAAAACACAGCAAGCCCTTTTTCCTATCTCTGCCTTTGGACTGTGGGAATCTCAGAGGATTGTTTATGATATACGACTTTAAGGCTAAAAGAGGGGGCAGCACATGCGTTCCTTATATGCACACACACACACAAATAAAACCTTTAAATGGACAAAAGAAGAAAAAAAGCTTCTCTGTGAAAAAGGGACCTTGCGCTCGGCTGCTACCGAATGTGGGAGTTCCCAAAATACTCCTCGACAGGAAATTCCCCATTCTCAGACGCGTTTTAAAGAGCTGTAGCCATCCGAACGCAGTTACAGTAATCCTGTTAACCCTAATCGCTTTCCTGCATATCCCTGCCGCCTGTCCTTCATTTCGTCCCTCTGTCCTCCTCTGCCAGACTAACACTGCGCTTTATCTACAACACAGAGCGGGGTTATGCTGGTATAGAGCTGATAACATGAAGGCGAGCTCTTGGGACTGTGTGTTCCACCGGGAGCTGATTCCTGATAGCGTGAGGCATATTTTTCTGTGTTTTAGTGTAACCGGAGCCACAAAATGGCAGTTGTCAGGAAAAAAAAAACAACATAACAGCAAAAGGAAAGAGCGAAGAAAAAAAAAAAAAAAGGTGCATGTTCTCAAATGGCATGCATGTAATTTTGTAATCTGAAATAGGCTTTTGACAGGTTGAAGGGGCATGAAATTCACTCAGCGCACAAATTGAGCAAGAAATTGTTCAATTTAAGTGAGAAACAGAAGAAAACGTATCTATCTGCTGTTGTGCAGTTTTTGTGCCGAGCAACAAGAAACAGATTTGAGTCGCTTGTTATATGTTACTTATAAGATTATTACACTTATATTGTGTGCTGCAGCTGCAAAAAACACAGGCTAATATTTAACTTTTTAAAGCTGCAGCAGTCAGTTTTACTATGTGTAACACAGAACTCATCAATCAACTTAATGACTCTGCTTTTTTAAGCATTTTGACATTTTTTTCAGGTCATTGTTTTGGTTTTTTACAGCCCTTATCTTTATTGTTTTGGTTCCCTCCTGCTGGTTCCACACAGCAGGAAGGTGTTTTCAGTCAAAGAGGCGTGTTAAACCCACGACCTGAGCAGCACTAAACAGACGAGCCTGTCAACATGTGTAGCAGGTGGTGGAGACCAAAAACGGAGCCAAAACAAAACTGAATATCAGATTTACGTTCGCCAAATGGCCAGAAACACAACTTCAAATGAATGCTGATGTTGCTATGAGCCTGTTGGATATGTAAATTAGCAATTGTTTGCTAACACAAATCAACTACATCAGGTGATTTTTAGAGCCCAGTCAATACTAAAGCTTATTTCTAAAGAATATTATGCAGGAAAAGAGGCTTGAAATAAGTTCCATTGTTTGTACTCTAAGCAGCACATGCAGCAGCAGTGTAAACAAATGGTGGTGCGGAGTAAAGCAGCGTCTTTACATTAACCTGCTAACGAGTTTGCGGAATACATTGCTGAAAAGTTAGCAAACAACAACTCTATCAGTACAACTCTAACACAACCCTGTTCCTGATAACTGCCACAGTACTAACGCTTAAACAACATCTGTTTGCTGTTAGCGAGGTAGCTAGCTGGCTATACTTGGTCAGCTTCAGAGCATCTTTTCCTCTTTATTCTGCACCTCAGCAGACACTCATGCTTATGAAACTCCTTAGTTATTTTCCCTAGCTAGCAAACTACGTAGCAACTGTCAGAGCTTGTCAGCTGAGTGGAAAGCTAATGTGCTAGCATCAACATATATAGCATACATATATATCCAATATTTAGATTTTTTTTTAATGAAAAGATGATAATAAAAGGATAAAATTGGTGTCAAAATCCGCCAACATTTGCTCGAGTGAATATGCTAATGTTGCATTTATAGCTTCTCCTGCTGCCACCACAGGAAAAAGAAAGAAGGAACTATACAACTATTATAATAACGTTTTGTAAATGTTTGCCTAAAATTACTGCTTTGACTACAGGCGTAGAAAATGGTGATCGATTAAATGCAGCTCGGGTGTACAGTTTATTTGTTGTATTCCATAACAAAAACTCCTTATTCGACACATAAACACACATAAAACCTGAACACAGAACACTGCAAAGGAAGAGTTCAACAAACAGACAGACGCACTCGGCTGTACCTACAGTGAACATGACGACAAAGTAAAGCTGTGTCTGTGCGGCGAGTTCGGCAGGGTGAGAGAGAATTACAACAACATTATTCACAAAAGTGACCACAAACAAACAAAGCACTGGATTCTAGCACGATCAGAGATCACACACTATTAGAGCCAAACCTCGAGTGTGGAGTCTCACTGGGACGGGCCAGATGGATGTTACAGCTAACTGTCACTAATTAGATTTTCTCCACTGGCTGAAAATCCCCCCTTGATTTTCAGTGTGTGGGAGTTGGCTTTTGGCAACACTGGAGACATTTATTCACATTTGAGTTGATTAAACGTTCCTTCGCCGTGACAAACATTTATCTTCGGCTGTGGATGGGGAGGGGCGAGCCGGGTCGATTCCGGTTGATCTTTGGCTGTGTATTTCTTGCAACAAACAGGTTAACATGTCAGGAAAATGACATCGGTTAAGTCAGACATTTTCCTCCAGCAGCTGACTGCAGCACATCTCTCTCAGTTCATCGAGGCTCGCTCCATTTCTGAACGCTCCTTCATCTCAGTCAGATAACACTTCATGCAGAGAGCTAAAAGAGGTGAGAGGTGCAGATGCGGGTCATCTGGCACTTAATCTCTCCAAATATTTTGAATGTTTAGCTTAAGCTTTGCTGCGCTGCCGGATGAGTGGGATTTGGAGAACTATAATATTGACTCCATTGTGCTGATGACTGTGCTGGACCTGATGCAAATACAGCAACGGCCAAAAGTACACTTCTGTAGTTAAAGCAAAGTGTTTTAAAATTGCGGTTGCTTCAGCTGCTGTGTTCGCAAAAAAACTGGCAGATATTAAAAACAGTTCACTGCGCGTCTCCTCAGAACAGCGATCGACAAATAGATAAGAAACTACAGATAAGCAGAGCTGTGTTTTCAGTGTTTTTACAGACTTTTGTTTTCAGATAAAAAAACACTAGAGTAAATGTGTAAGGAATAACTTAAACAATTGTCTGCTCTCAACAAAGCTTCAATCATTAGCATGACAAGCTAACTAGCGTTCTACCTACAACAGTGACTGAATGTTGCTTTCAAGGCCCACGAAATTATCGTTGGGTTACTCATTCACACACCCTGTTCAAGATACGATTTTTTATTCCACCTCGCTGTTCTGGGTATAAAGAAAGTGATGCATTCAGGGGACGTTGTGCCTTTTAAGGTCCCCTGAATTGTGCAAATCCATGTTTATTGTGTTTTGTGGTTGAAGACGGTTACTTTTGCCACACGACTAGCTCAGCAAACTCTAAAAGGAATTTTTCAAGATATTCCACAGTCAGGGTTTAATTCAGCACCAAATTGCAGTCACTGAATTGTTTGTTAAAATCTCTTCAACCTATAATCCCCATCAACATCGTCTAAAATTCCAATCGCCCAACGTGGGGCTCGAACCCACGACCCTGAGATTAAGAGTCTCATGCTCTACCGACTGAGCTAGCCGGGCTACTTGGGCATGCAAGAATGTCTGCTCAAAATATATATACATGACTTAATAAATAAAAATGCTACTTTGGGCACCTGTTAGAGTGAACACGAGAGTCTCCATGCACTCCCAACATCTTGGGAGTTGAAGACCCAGTGCATTACTTTTATTATGACAATTTCATCACAACAACTGGAAAGTCCTCAGCACACATGGCTACATGTGGCTAATGTTTATGAATTGAATGTCCACATGTCAGAGGTCTGTTTAAACGACTAATAAACTAAAATACTAAGAGACGGCTGAAACTTTAGGACTGATTTGAACCCAAGAAACAAGGACAAGGAAGTGTGGGTTAATGTGTTTTCCATGTCTATTGTTGTGCTTCAGCAAAACCTAAACTCAACTAGTGTTTATCTGTTTGCTTTTCCCCTGCTCGATGTGCTCACATATACTGCATTATAACACGGCTGAATTCCCAATAAGGCTATTCTCACTTACATATTGTATGAAACAGTGAGTAAAAGTCAGCACAATAAGACTACATATTAGAGGCCTTTCTAATCTGCCGCTCTGCACCTCTAGATTACTGGTTTAATAACCCAAACGTTGTCTGACAAACTCACCAAATACATGAGGTAAAAACAATAACTGTGCTGTAAATTATAGCTCATAGAAAAAGTTAGAAGAGTCACAAAGTTCTGGTCTCAATCTCAATTCCATCTGTGTCAACTGCTTTGCTCACAGATGTAGAGAGAGTCTTCTTTCTGAAGGAGGTGTGCAGTAGCTCAGCTGTATTTATAGCTAAAGAAATTGAAACAGCCTGTTTGGAACCAGATGAAAACCAGAGGTTATACTGTCATGGTGAAATGAAGCATCTTTGCAGCATTTTGAGTTGCTAAACTGAAGGACACATTCTGGAGACTTTCATTGATTTGCTGAAAAGGGGCAGAATATGGGACCTTTAAGGAGGTCATCCCAGAGCCCAATCGATGTCAGAGTGAAATAACCGGCATGGTGGGACGTTTCTCACTAAACAGCGATGCTGTTATGTGTCATGTCAGTCCTCTGAAAATACAAACAAGTATGAAAGCTAAGCGAGCACACAGTGTGAATGATAAGCGCGATCTTACATTTCATCACATCGTACTTATCATACTTGAACTAACAAGCTCTGTGCTGCATAAACAAGCAAACTGAGGTGTTACTTTGTCTGTGAGTGTCAGCTAATGGTTTACTATCATCTGTGTAGCAATCAAGTGCGTATTTAAAACCCCTTTAAAGACCGCTTTAAATCGAGACAGCTGGAAACATTTAAAAGTCAGCGAGGGATGCCATTTTCAACCGACACGCAAAGCTAATGTTTGACTAATTAGCTAGTTAGCCCCGGCTGAAAAAAAAAAAAAAATCTGCCAGAAACAGATTTCTATTCAGCCAGCATCAGCCTGCTGTCTGCACACTAGATTTTGATTGGTATGTCTGACCGTATTATCATTACCACTGCGCAAGTGCCGGTGGGACGCGGGGCTGAGTGGACGGTCAGATGCGAGAGGTTAAAAATGGTGCACTGACCTTCAGAGAGGAGCCTCGAGGGCTGACACACTTGAACGGTTTTCCGTCCCCGTCCATGGTGTCTTCCACCTTCTGTCTCTTCTCAGCTGCCTCTGCTCTCCTCCTCTCGATCTCCTCTTTCATCTTCCTTTTCTCCTCCTGGGAAAAAAACAGTTGAGCCAGTTCAGCAGACGCACTTCTACATGCAAAACCCTTGACATTTTTTTTTTATTTTCAGTGTTTCTGGTGTTGATTGGGAATTTGTGTGTTCACCCTCTGAACCCCCAAACCCATCCATCTATTATTTATGCACCACTTAATCCTCATTAGGGTTGTGGGGGGCTGGAGTCTATCCCAGCTGACTTAGGGCAAAAAGGGGACACTCTGGACAGGTCACCAGTCCATCACAGGGCTACACTCACGAGACAATCAACCAAGCACACTCACATTCACACCATTTAGATCAAGAGAAAGCACACAAACTCCACACAGAATGATTCCAGGCACAGGTTGGGACGCAAACCAATGATCTTCTCGCTGTGAGGCGACGGTGCAAACCACTGAGACACTGTGCCGCCCCCCAGAACCCGATATCACCAAAATAATTAGAGCTAGCAACAGTAAAAACAGAGAAAATCAATAAAATGTTGAACTTTCTCATGGCAGTTGAATAACTAACCTGTGAAGTGCTGTTCTCAGCTTAACCTAAAACCCTTTATTCTACATGTGTAGTTTGAAAATTTGCCAAAAATGAAGCATTTGCACTAAACAGATCCTGTAAAAAAAAAAAAAAATTACGAGCTCTTTGACACAACTGCTCACTCGGTTGCGATTAAAAGCCACGTGATAAAAAATCTGAGACTTTTCAGCTGAACTGCAGGCTGTGTTCACGCAGAGCAGAGAGGAAATGAAAATGAATTGAAACAGAAAGTAGTAAAACAGTTACAGTATGAGTCACCATTTGTTTTTATAGTTCTGGCAACACATGTGGGCACTAGTAGGAATGTTGTACATGTTTATTCTACGTTTTTTCCCCATTTTTGTAAGATAAGTTATCAAAGAAATTCAACTTTTGTGTTTTCTTTTTAATGATTTATGACATTAAAACTATGTCAAACTGCACAAAGCAAATTTTTGAGTTCTATCTACTTCCATCGAGGTGCAAGACTTTATACTACAGTGGAAAATGAGACCAGAGTGAGTAGAGGAGCAGAAATCACCCAGAAGCCGCTTGGAGTTCAGGGGGTTGTTTTCTTAAGAGCATTCGTAGGTGGCGCTCTGTTTTTTGCCTGTCCAGCCATGCCGGATATTGCTGCTCATGCTAAGTGCCCACTTCACTTCTATTTACTCTAAACAAACCACTGTTGCTGCTGGAAACCTAAAACAGACTTCCTGTGCGCCGGAGGATTTTTTGCCTGGGAACAAACTGATAGATGGGTGTTTTGAGGAGATCGTGCAAAATCCCTCATGAGCCTGGTAAAAGCTGAACGACTTCCATGTGACAGGGAGGATTATTATGTGAAACGGCGTATGTCGCAGGCAGTCAACAATCAGGAATGCAGCTGATCCAGACAATAGATACATGTCACCCTCTAATTGATTTACTTGCTTTATCCAATGAAGCAGGTGAGGGACAAATTCAATTACTCACAGCAAAATTCTTATATACAGTGATCGCCTGCTTCAGGAAAAACAAAAAAAAAAATTGCCTGGGACATGCAGAGTAATGGTTAAAAAAAAACAATTAATGTATGAACCATTTGTACTGTAGTCAGAAGAGGGCTGATGCTTGGCAGTATATCAGGCCTTTCCAGCAGCCTTGTCTTGGTTAATTAGTCTCTCTGTATCTCTGGGCCATCTTTTAATTACAAACCAAAAGGCCTCATTAACATCACACAAGAGGAGAAGAACAGGGGCAGATAGCGAGAGACGGGCTGCCACATTCGGAGCCAAGATCAACAAAGACGACCAGTCTGGGTAATAGTGAGAACGCAGGGCCTCGGAGCGAGCGAGCGAGCGGCTGGGAGAGAAAATGAACGACGTTTCGGCACAGACGGGATCACAAAGGAAGGGGGAGGTTATCGCGCTCGAGATACATAAGGATGAGGTCGTTATGAGAGGAAAGAGGAATAACATATGTGAGTTACAAGTGGGGACCCAAATAGGTTGAGTCACGATAACGGTGACTTATGGCCAGATAACGTCACGGCGGCGCTAGCGTGAGTGTGATACATGACTTTCAGCTCACACAGGTGCAAAGGCTAAATCAACATGAGAGGGGTGAGAAAGAATAAGAAAGGACTCGGGGTTGCGTAATTTACAGAAATGAGAGGAATAAATGAGGCAAATGAGATTAAAGGTTCCCATACGGTAAAAATTAATTTGTATTGTAATTATTATAAACTTAGAGGCATAAAGGACAAGCTGTTAAGATATGAAGACATTTACTTCAAGACCTCCCAAAACTAGACGGCCTCCCAGCTTTAAGGGGCAGGAAAAGGTTTACTCAACTGCTACGTTTTAGTAGAGGAACCAACAGTCGTCAAGCTAAAAATTTTTAGCATCATCCAGCCTCTTTACTTCTCACTGCTTTCATTCCAATGCCTCACAGTCCACCAGGTTTGGCTGCAAGAGTGAACACAACAGTCTTCATGCACTCCCAGCATCTAAGGAACTGAAGATCCAGTGGATTACTTGTATTTTTGATGGCAATGTCACCACAACAAGAAACAAATCCTTAGTGTTAGTTAATGTTGTGCAGCTAATGTGGCTATCGTTAGTATTAGCTTAGGATGTATACCCACGGGTCAGAGCTCTGTGGAAATTTTAATGTTGAGGGACGGTCGGTAATATTTCTGTATAAAATCATCACTCAGCTTCATTTAAAGTTACTTAGAACAGGATTAAAACCAAGAGTTATACAGTCATGGTGTAATGAACCATCTTTGTGGTATTTTGAGCTGCAAATTTGAAAGACACATTCTGGGGACATGTAAGACTTTTAATAATTTGCTGAAACAGGGGCACAATATGGGACCTTTAACATCAAACTGAAATACTTTTTTTAATCCCCAGAAATCAATACATATACACTCCTGGTCAAAGGTTTTACAACACCCCCCCTTCCCCTTTTGTAATTATGTCGAAATACAAGCATTCAAATCCAGTGAACGACCTGAAACTGAACAGTTACCAAAAGCTCATCCTACTGTATAAAAAGAAAATGACCAAACACTATGCTAAAGGTGCCTCAGATAAATGAAAACATGTGTTTCAATTGATGGGAGAGGAGCACAGTTTTCACACATAAACCCTGTCAAGCATCAGAGCAACCAACAAGAGCAACCTATTTACAGACTGCAATGTGAAAACTGGACGTATTCCAAAACTTGGTGGTTCATACATATACGTCTTTCTTTCTGAGGGCATCTATTTGTATCACTCTTCTATAGAAAATGCTTTTTTCTAATGTGTACCTATTTTATTTTTTATAATTTATGTATATTTGTATTCTTTTTTGTTACTACTGCTCTTACTTTTTCTTTATTTCAGTTTCTTTCCTATATATGAAGCTGACTCGAGCAAACGCACAAAGAATTCCAGTGTACCTGAACTGTAATGTACTCCTGCAAGTGGCGATAAAACTCTATTTTATTCTTTTTTGTGTAAATAATTTATGCTCCTTTCATTAACGTTCTCTGAGGGTCGACACTTCTTTGTTGTACCTGATTCCTATCTGTGTTGCCAATTTGATTGGTGCACTATCTGCGTGGGTGGGTATTAAAACACATTCACTTCTCCTCTGGTTAGCCATTGTTTTCTGCTAATAGTCTCATCTGAGATTCGAGCGTTCCATGTGCTACTCCATGTGAGTTGGCAGGATGACTCATTCATACAAGATTTGCCAGTTGAGATATTTGCCAGTGCTGACAAGACCCTGTCTTTCCCATAACAACAACAACAACAACAGCAAACACAGAGTTGAGGACTCAAGAGGATCCAAGCTGTTCAACAAGTGGACTTCTCAATGTGAATTGCCGGGATAGGAAGAGACTGAATTCCAAGTTAAAAGGAAATGACAACAGCTTCATGGCTGTATTGTGGCCTCGGGTGAACCTCAGAGATCTAAATGTTGTTATCAAAGGGAGAAAGGCCAGGATGGGTTATAATAAATAAAAGTAATAACATGAAACACCAACCTTAACAGCACCATGTTTCATGTTGTAGAGGGACTTAAATTCCTCACATAAACATTTAACTATAACATATGCTGTGTGGGTTTATTGAAAATGAAAACTACTTGTAGGAAACATTGATTTGTGGTGCTGCAGTCTGACTGTTAGGTATGAATCTGTCAATCAGCCGGACGCTTCAGGCCTGAAGATGAATTTATCCTATTTTGAAAAGCGGGATAAAGTGTACCACAGTATCATTATACTTTATACCAATACTGGAATTCATTTTCAAAAACTTGGAAGAGAAACATAGGCACAGTAGATCTGATCAAACACCATCCACTAAGTGAATAAACTAACTCCTACCTCCTCTCTGGCTTTCTTATCCGCCTCCTCCTGCTTCTTCTGCCGCTCCTCCTCCTCCAGCACCTTCCTCCTCTCCTCCCTCTTCCTCTTCAGCTCCTCCAGCTCGGCCTCGGCCTCCTGCTGCTTCTGCTTCATCCTCTCGAACTCCTCGCTCTCGGCGTCGTCGCGGCGGCGCTTCAGCTCCTCCAGCTTGCGCTCTGCCTCCAGGCGGGCGGCGTCGTCCTGCTCGTCGGCGGCGGACACCTCGGGGGAACGGACGCTGCCGCGGCTGGAACACGAAAACACGGGGTCAGGACGCAAAGCCGGTGGATATCCAGGTTAAAGCTCGACATTCGATCCAGATTGAATATTTAAACGCACACTTGAAGGATTTTTATCTCTGTCATGGACTAGCGGGCGACACATAAACACACAAAAGCACGTGGACACATACAAAACGCCAACAATCACCTTTGCAGAGATAAAGTTACAGCTCGTTTCAAATTTCACGCCAGTGTTTCGCCCGGAGGACTTACGGCGGGTGACCCGTGACGGAAAAACACACCGCTGCTGAGCCGAGTGCTGAAGAAAACCAACTTGTTTGCTTGTAAATCAGATTCAGATATGCTTTTCAATTATTTTGCAAGGAGCCTCAGGCAACACTTCCACGCTTTTACCCCAGCCTGAGCAACAAACAATAAATGTTGCTGTAACATCAATAAGTTCCTGTCTGATAGAAATGCCCCTGTTCAGCAGGTGGAAACACTACGGGCAAAAATGAACATTTCTCCTCCACAATTTCACATATATATTGTATTTTTTTTTTTTATAGGAATGTGTGTCTTCTGCTCCCATGAAGTCACAGTGATCTTTGGTGGTTTGGTAGCTTGATCTTTTCCGCTGACCTTTTCTGTTGAGAATATTAAGTTACTGCAGTACTTTTCCAAAAGTAGTCAGGAGCAGAGAGGCACTGATATACTGGCTTCATGCAGTCGGACTGCTGCTGTAATATTTGACTGTCAATTATTGGGAGGAATTGGGATCTCTGTCACCGGTTGCTCTCAAATTAGCTTCAAAATAAAAGCATCATGTCTTTTACACTAGAAATGATCAGGAGCGTCAAGCAGGTGGGAAAATGTTGACAATACAGATGGTTTAACCCTTTGAATACCAAGCATTTTCTGCTCCTCTTGTATTTTTACACACTGTAGGCTCTTTTTATTTAGTCCTGCACCTCAATGGAAACAGCACCAGCATGGATACAGGTAGAGAGAACTTAAACATGAAGAGTTCATTTGCAAAAACAGATAACTCCATTTTTACAGATTTTCAGAAAATTTGTTTTTTTGTTGTTTGCTTGAGATAATATCAATCAAACTGAAGCTGACTGGATTTGACTCGGTCGAAATGACATGACAAAAATAGAGATTACTTAAGTTTGATTGATATTTTCTCAGGTAGACGATGGAAAAGTGGGTTTTCTGAAGGTTTGTGAAGATGGCATTATCTGTTTTTGCAAATGAACTCTTCATATGTATTCTGTGCAGTATGACACAGTTAAAACAAATTAAATGTTTGTCATGTGACTGTTGGTCACAGCTGGGTCAATAATGGCTTCACTTTTGCACCAAGAAGCACAGATGTTTTTTTTTTTTTGTATTTTACAGAATCCGGTGAGTGTCAACAGATTATTGTTTGGCAAATTTTTAATTAAGACCTATGAAATAAAATGATTTTGATAAAATATCCATATTTATAACTCAGATTTGGTCATGCAGCAAAAGTTAGACATCATCAGTTTAAAGACTGCTTAAAAAAAGTTGAAAATCCAACACTTTGTCCTGTTTTTGCAGCTTCTTGCCCTGATAAATGGTGCAATTTAGGTGATTTAAAAAATTGCATTCCTTTACACCGGCAAGTTTTTGGGGGTTCAGAAGGTCAAAATAGTAATATTTAGCATAATATAATGCGCAGGCTAATCGCATTCATGTAATTATTTAGATTTTCCAGACACTTTTATTTTTAACTGGCAGCAAACTGGGGCATGAATCTGATGAATGCCGGGTTTCTTGAATAATTTATAAGGCCTGGCTATCCCCAGAGTGAGTGAGAACCAGACAGTGACTCGCTGTGTGTGTTGCTGCTCTCGCGTACCTGAGGGTCCTCTCAGGTTTCCGGTGCTGTTTGGGAGTCGCCTCCTCGTGCAGCCCTCCGTTGTGCTTCCTCTCGTCCTCCCTCTCCTCCCTGGCTCCGCCCCTCTCGTTCACCTGCAGGCAGACAAACAAAGTGAACGCAGATGCAGCAGGCGGAGGGGAAGGCTGGAAGGTGGGCGAGGTCGATCATGTGACATGACACGATGTCGCATGAGAGGAAAGAGAAGGAGAGCACACCCCGAACAAAATAACACAGAACATCACATCTGGCTGAATCCACTCCAGAATTACTGCTGACTGAGGATTATCCAACATGTGATCAGGGCTGGGAGTGTCTCCAGCTGTGTAGTTTCTACCTCTAACTGCTGTTCATCATCAAAAACATAATTTAAGTTTTCTATCTTTTAAATAATATGTGCAGAAGTCCAATATGTGCACAGCCAGTTCAGTTTTGGACATATATTATTAATCTAGAGACTGGCAAAAAAAAAAAAAAAAAAAGCTCTGGTTAAAATACCGACTAGAAAATTAAAAGCTTGGTTCATCAGGATCATCAGTTTGTGTAAGAGACTCATTACACAAGAAATCTAGGAAGGAAATGTTCGCTTGAGCAGTTAAATCAGAGTGCAGATGCTTATTTAGACTTAAAAAGCAAAGAACTGCAGATTAAAGTGGACTGATGAACCCAAGTTGGCCATTGATGATGATATTTTGCTTTTCGAGCAGCAATTCCCACTTTTTACTTGCTTTTTACTTAAAATATAAACACAGCATGTCATTTTTATTGAATTCTATCCATTCTTTTTAATGTAAGGGGGATAAGGTTTTGTTGTTTCAACACATGGCATCTCTACAATGGAATGGACATCATGAAACGACCAACGACGCACGATACTGGAAATGATGCAGGGCAGATGGAGAGTGAAGAGCATGTCCCCTATATGCTTTGTGGTTCTGGATCCTACTCATGGATTGTTCTCTTGCTCTTCTTGAAGGACTCTGTGAAGTTGATGGACACTTTGGGGGACTGGGTCACACCTTTATTCAAAGCATCATACAGATGTTTGATGGCTGACATGTCTGGAGAGGCCATAATTGGAACATGTTCAGCTGCTATGCTAGTAAAAGGGCAGCACATATTCTGGCAACATGAGTACGTCCTAAGTTGTCTTCATCAAGTGATGATGGCGAATGAACGGGTAACCATGGCTGTGAGGATTTCACCTGTTGACATTACCCAACAACATCAAGATGAAATGCGGATTCATGGCACGTTCCATCCCATAACATCACTCCTCTGCCTCCATGGGACGCTGTTCGTACAATGTTGCATCGACTTAGTAAGATACCAAACACAACTTCTGCCATCTGCTCTGAAAATGAATGAACCAATCAATGAATCAATGAAATGGACCGTCTAGTGTCCAGCAAACAGACTGGAGCACTGGAGCTGTTTACTAAGCTGTTCTGCCTTCAGATCAAGGCCTCGATGTGGGCGACAAGCTCACAAACCAGCTTCCCTCAGCCGATTTCTCACAGCCTGAGCAGAAATTCTCTAGTTGTTCACAACAACAACTTCATCAGAAGTCTCTGTAGTCGATCTCAAACAATTTCACAGATGGACGAGCCTAATGTGATGCTTCTGGGCTCGATTGGTGCCACAATTTCCTGTCGTGTCATGCTGTCTGAAACAATTTCTTCGACCACATATGATGAAGCTGTGGACAATCAAGTGCCTGGCTACGGCTCTGGCTGACATGCCAGCAACCGGCAGCCCGTTCTCGTGTTTCTCTTGTCATCTGTGGCGTCGTGCCATTTGAAGGAAGCTGCATTTTAAGGTGGACTTTTGTAATCGTTGGTCAAAGGCGTGTCTGCGTGCTGGTTACACTCCCTGATCATTGTGCTTTGACATGGCACCTGACTCCAGTGTGGATTAACTCAATGGTCATGCTGCATTTATATTTTTGTTCAGTGTTGATAGAACAGATAAAATGCTTCGTATGGTCTCAAACGTTAGACTGGAAGCACACGATATGACGGCTCAGGTATTTTTTAAAATGTTTCTCTGCTTCTGTTACTGGCTGGAGTGGACTCAGTGCAATGTGACGTGTTGCCGCCCTCTCAGCTGAGGTGGAAGACATGCAGAAAACACACTGTGACCACTCTGTGGAGCATAGCATTAACCTCATTAAAAACTGGCTGCAAGGCTGCAACCACACCTCGTAAAGAGCAGGCTCAGTTACCAGCAGTTTGCAAATGGTGCAAACCACACTCGACAACACGAGGTGTCCGGGTAATTTCAGCATCTGGCTTTGACATAAGTCACAAAGTCAACATGATTGGCTCATTAGCAGAGTCTTTTTCACAGTTTAATCTTAAAAGATTTCTGCTGAAATGTCTTCTCAGAGATGCGTGGAGATACTGAAGTTACCCGGAGTGATTTTCTGTGCTGTGAATCACACCTCTACTGAAATTCTTACCGCATGTATGATACCTCATTATCCTCTGACTGCAGTATCTCAGATACCTCAAAGTCCTCTTCAGTGTCATTTCTTAGTAACATAGGCTTGTTCTCTGATGAATTATCTACATTATCATCCTCAGGTACCTCTTCCGCCTCCCCTGACGCTACTGCATCCTCCTCAGCTTCTGAATTAGCTGACTTGGCCTGATTAGAACTCTCACTGACTACAGAAAGTGTTTCTTCCTCAGCCAGTGCCTATGAAAAAGGATTATAGCAATTTTTTGAAGGAAAGATCTCAAGGAAGTGCATTGCAAAAAGTCAACAAATCCATCACCATACCTTATTTTGCATGTTAGGCTCTTCAGTTGACGCCTACAGAAACAAGCATCACATTTGCAGGAGCTGTCAGTTACTAAAGTTAAATAAACGGCTAAAATAAATGAAAAAGAGCGAACAGACGACTGACCTGTTCTCTCAAGTAAGACCTTCTCGGCTTGTCCTCCACCACTTCAGCTTTCTGCTCCTCCTCCTCCTCCACCTCTCCGGTTTCAGGAGCAGCCTCCTCCTCCTCTCTCGGCTCCTCTCGCTCCTTCTGATCCCTCCTTGAACTGTAGGTCGCCGGCTTCTCCTCCTCGTCCTCATTGTCACGGTAACGACCCCTGCGCCAGGAGGAGGGCCTCTCCTCTTCTGCGTTGTTTCTCTCCGTGGCGACGCCGTCGACGGCCTCGGCGTCGTCCGGCTGCCTCTGTCTCTCCAGCGCCTCCTTCATGCGTCTCTGCCGTCTCTCCTCCCGTTTGGCCATCCGGTCCAGCAGCGCCTGGTCCTCGTCGTCTCCGCCGCCTCCAGAAGAGCCGCTCACAGTCACCGTCTCTGTCACACTGGGAGGAGAGAGAGGAGACAAACATTTCAGTGTGTCTGTATTTTTTTTTTCCTAATGAGGAGGATGTGCTGAGGTCAGAGCAGACGTCAGCTGTAAAGAAAATGCGGGCAGTGAAAGTAAACGCATAATATTATCTCTTGTTACCACCAAGCTGCCCTTGATCGAGGCCCATCGCCCCTAAAAGTAGCTCAAACGTGCTCTGTAAGCAAAGTTTCCAGATAGCGGCTGCCAGCGGTTGTGTTCAGCTTTATAGCCTGTATGCAGAGAATGCTGACAAATGGTTTTATTGACAGGTTTTCGCCACAGCTATTCTTTCAAATAAACTCAGGTCAGGCCTTTAAATGAACAGAAAATAAGCACATTCTCTTGGATTTCAGGTTTAGACTTTTGTATCTCACTCTGTCAGCTGTCTACCTGCTATAATGCAACTGAGAATGAGAGTCCACAGCCACGCTAATACGTCTGTGAGCTTAGGCGCAAAGCGTTTTCCAGCTAAATTCAAACTTCAGTATACTCACAGTGACGGCAAGAACATGCTGATGTTTAATTGAGACAACAGTTGTTAAGACAATTTACTTAAACCCACAAAAAGAAACAATATCAGCAAAGTCAAATTAATTTATAAAGCAGATTTACAGACAACAAGAGTTGAATCAAAGTGCTGTACAACTACACAAGCAGGCCGTGAAACACAATAAATGACTACAAGGCGAATATAAATAACATAATAAAAATAAAACGCAATAAAATATGAACACTAAAAAGCTACAACAATACAAGAGATGAAGTCGGAGTGCAAACACGAGCTGAATGCCAATGAGAAAATCTGGGACTTGAGCAGTTTCTAAAATAGAGAGTCAAAGCAGTTCTTACATAAAAAGGTAAACTGTTAAAGAGAATAGGAGGAAGCAATGCAAAAGCTCGATCACCTCTGTTTTTGTACCTGATCTCACAAAGCCTATCGGGTCGGTCGATCTCAGCGCGTTAACAGGGGTGTGATGATAAGACTTCTGCTAAATAAGGTGGCACAAACCCATTTAAAACCTTAAAAACAAACAATGAAATCTCAAAATCAGCGCTGGAATGGGCAGGGAGCCAGTGAAGCGAGGCCAATACGAGTGTTATGTGATCGCATTTTCTTTTACTTATTAGAAGACGAGCGGACGCACTTTGTGCCAGATGAAGATGCCGAAAAAGACGACCGCACTTTGGCCAAATACAGGGAATTACAGCTGTCTAACAAAGAGGTAACAAAGGTATGAGTACATTTTTCAAAGTCTTTGTGACAAATAGAACTTCAGCTTGGCTCAAAGTCTTAATAGAAAAAAAAATAGTGGAAATTTGAAGAAGGTGTCTAAGATCACCACAAAGGTTTTTTTTTTTGTACAAAAGAATGATTGTACAAAGAAAAAAGGGAAAAAAGTGCCATCAGGTTCATCCAAAAGGTCTAGCCAATCAAACATAGCAATCTCGGTCGTGTTTTCATTAATATTACAACGATTAATCCAAATTTTAATAAGTTCCAGCTTCACTTAATAAGCAGTCCAACAAGGTCTTTACTTTTTGCTGGCAGATGGATTTCTATCATCTGAAAAACAATGAATGATGAAAAGAAACCTTTCTTACAAACTACCAAACACATCAGGATTCGTCTTCTGGAGAAGATGAACAAATGTATAAAATTAAACCAACAGTTTTTGAGATATTTCTGTCATTAAAATGGTGGACTGACTGATAGCCTGAGCAGCCAACATAACCATCCACAAAGACAAGCTTCCACAAGGACCAAAGCATACATCCGACACACCCCATCAGTCACTTCAAACAGCCTCTTGGATGACAGATAAAACATCTTCAAAAAACCTCCGTGCTCCTAGGATTACCGTGACCTGGATAACTGAGAAGCTGCACAGACAAACAACTTAAAAGTAGGCTTTTACTGTACACCGAATACCAAATGAAAATCCCTCCACCTCGCTGCAAACAGCATGACTCAAACTATTCTGACCTGAAAGTCTGGCAAACATTATCCTTGCATCTGCACAATCAACAATGCCTAGTGAGCGCTAGGTTCTGCCTCAGCATCCTCCAGCACAATCCCCCTGTTGTTCGAGCGGCCCAGGATGTATCTCTGAGCTCATAGAGAGGAAACATTCATGACCACAAAGCAGCGTCTGTGCTGCTGGATGTCAGAACGACCCACTGCTTCCACCGCGGCCAAGACGACTTATCTCACAGCCTTAAACTGCATACAAATTGATAGTTGGTTCCTTTGTTCCTACGTCAGTCTTCCTGATGGATAGGTATGACCTAACGCATTGTTGAGGGGGTGTGCATGCAGCTGTAGTAACGGCAACGCTCATTTAACGAGTTTGGACGATGACGTGCGTGTTTAACCTTTCCAAAACACAAATTACAAGAGTACAAGTGTAAACAATGTGTGTCTGATGACTAGTCTATTTCTAAAAATAGAAACCGACTGTTACCTCAAAGGTTAAGCAGCAACTACACTAGTTAGGGGTTTTACAAGCCCCGTTTACAACTAACAGAATTACTGTTTAGCACGTACCCACTATGTGAGAGCTGAGCCAGTTGCTCTCTTCGACTGTGAAATAATACATTTTTGAAAAACTCCATCAAAGGTCACATCAGGTTTCATCTTCCAGCTTTCTTACTATATTTAAAATACCATGACTTGTGCTAAAATTGAAGAACAGTGCTATTATTGTCTACACTACATGGATCATGCACTGCAAATGTCTCCATTAGCTTAGCTTTATTTAGCTTAGCTCAGTCTACCAGAGGTGTACTGGTGCATATATGCAGGTATACACCATGTCCACCAAGCTATGATGTTAGGTTGAGTGTATACCTACCAAGACACCACCAAACCAAGCCACAGAACCACGTATGTAGCCACTAAGTGCAAACTGAACACCCCTTTTTACAGGGTTTGGTATGGTCTAAGCTCTTTTTATTGTGTTTTGCGGTTCTTATAAATTTCAAAAAGCTGTTACGATATAAAGACATTTATTTCTGACATTCCTCAAGCACTCCTACAACTAGAAAGTGTCCCAGCTCTGCAAACCACTAAGAATTATACCAAACTGTTATCTAGACAAAACTTTGTATAGTCACTAACCGCTACCAATGAGATGAGCCATTCAGAAAGAACAGCTGCCCAGAGCTGCTTCTGCTAACCCTAAAATGTCTTAGTCACGAGCAAAGCATATCAAATGTTCTGCTGTTAAGAGTGAACATGAGAGTCTTTATGCACTCCCAGCATCTAAGGAACTAAAAACCCAGCGATTACTTTTATTGCCAATTGTGCGTCTAATGCTACAATTAGCTTTGGTTGTATACCCACAGGTCATTGCTCTGTGGAAACTGTAATGCTGAGGGAATGGTTGTGTTGTGAGTTTGGCAATAATTTTATGTAAAATCCTCATTCACGTCTACGATGGCTCCCAGAGAGTCTTCTTCCTGAAGGGGGCGTTAACAGCAGCAGCTTGGTTGCATTTAAAGCTACAGACACTGAAACAACCTGTTTAGAACAGGGCTAAAACCAGGTGTTTTACAGTCATGGTAAAGTGAACCATCTTTGTACCATTCTGAGCTGAAATCTGACATTTTGGGAACCTGTGAGACGTTTATTAATTCACTGGAAAGAAGCACAATGCGGGACCCTTCAAGCAAATCACCTGGATCATCAATCAGCTGGATTAACCAACTCATGGAGCTAATATTAGCTTAATTAGCTAGCCAACAATAGATGACAAAATCTGGCTGTCACTGTTCTTACTGTAGTCTGCAAAAATTCTCAATTACTGACAAGAGATGAAGCCGGCTTTTGTCTGTTTCGGAGTGAGATCAAGGACTCATTGTTAAAACGGTGGTAATAATGTGCTGTGAGAGAAAGGAAAGCTCGGTTACTAAAGAAAACTAAGGCAGAAAATGTGTCTGTGAGAAGTTTTCAAATAATCTCCAAAACTGCAATGAATTCCCTTTACAGCAGGAGATGTAAAAGGATTTTAGAGGCATACTTGTGAGCTCGCCTGACACAAAGAAGTGACTCACTCGTTATTTATTGATGAGGTACCACCTATAACCCATCACGGGCAGGATGACATTACATCAAAAGTTCTTCCTCCTTCTTTACCGGCGTCCTCAGTTGGCTGCAGACTACGTATTTACCACAAGGAGAGTTTGCGATGCTATATGCGCGTCACCTGTGGCTGTTGGTCATGACCAGGCTGTCTGGCTGACTGCTGGGCTCCTCGCTCTCCCTGCTCCTCATCCTCTCCTGCCGAGCCCTGCGCCTCCTCTCGCGGGCCGCCTCCTCTTCGTCATCATCATTCCTCGCCATCCTGAGGGAGAGAAAGCAAGAGAGTGAGCGAGAAGACAAAGAGACACATTTTCTTTCTGGTTCCCCCCAACTTTCAACCCTTCATCTCTTTCTTCCCATCCTCAATTTAGCTTCACAGTTGGAAACTCCAAAGCGAATGATTCTTTAAATTGGACTGTAATCATCACAGTGACCGAACCTGGTGGATTTGCCCTGAGTTTTTTTTTCCTTTCCTCTCTCCTATCAAGCCGACCTGTCAGCTGTGCAACAACCAATACTTCTTATCGTGGCAGCAGTTTTCACGAGCTGATAAAAACTAAATGTCTGGAGACACGGCTTGGCTGAGGATAAGAGAGAGCCATGAAACAGTGTTTCTGGCCACAGCTTGTACTGGTCTGGTCAGTGCTGGAACAGAGCAAACTGGAGAAACCAATAGTTTATAGTTTTTCAAGGAATTTAATACCGCGTTAAATCTAACAATCGGATTTTTCGAAAGTTAACAAACGAAAGTAAAGATTTTATGATGTCAAAACTACTTTGCAGTATTTTGCGCTGACAGAGGTGGGGCGAGCTTTGTTTGGCTCCATAAAATTGGAAGCGCACGCTTAGTTTTGTTGAGACATCCATTTCAACACAAATATCGCCCTCCCAGTTTAACCTTCTGAACCCCA